GCTAATTCCATTTAATGTCGACATCAATATTGTATTGATAAGGCGTCATCTTGATAATGCTTTCGCACACGGAAAAAATCGCTACAGTTACCACAACCAGAAATAATGATGAGGATATGTTCATCTTACAGTTATCACAACCAAATGTATTGATGAGCGAAAATTATCATTTCCGATTGTAGTGTTTTTTCCAGGTATTTTTAAAGATATCAGAGGGTTAGTTATCGTTGGTTATTGCTTGTTTTTATCCATTGCTAATGTCGGCGTTTTTTGAACCTTTCATTTTATCAGGACGAGGTCACTGATACTGATATGATACGTCTTATTAATGCGATGTTATGCAAAAAATCGATTTGCTCCTATATGCAATAAGTCAGCACATGCAACATTGATTATGCATAGTCAGTTGATTTTGCTATGGAAATAACGTGCAAGTACGGTGCTTCATATAAATTGAAAATGGATAAAATGTGCAATTGTGAAACTTGTGAATATAAATTTGAAATAACCTGTAAATGCGGTACTTTTTACGAACTCATAACAAAAAAAAAGATACTTCTATTATTAATAATTTATATTGCATTTATCAATAATATATTGTATGTTTTTGATACATTTTCCTTTCTACTTATTAATTTATAAAACAATTATAATAACCTGTGTAAACTTGCGTATCCTATTTTACAATCAGTGTCAGAAACGTCTAGCTAATAATGAAAAAAAAAAAAATTTGTCGCAGAATGCCGATAATAATTTATGAGTACATTCTGAAACTCAATTTCGAACTCGTAATTATTAATTTAATAATTATAATTTTCTCAAATATTAGAAATTTTTAGTCGAGGAAATTCTTTTGAAATATCAAAATCTGACGATGGAATTTGCAAGGATTGAGATAGATAGGCGGAAATTTGTAAGTACCACTATTTGTGCATGTGAGAAAAACATTAAAAAATATGATACGTTAATTGTGTTACATAAATTTATTTTTATATTTACAGAGTATGAATTGAGAAGTAATGGCATTATACCTTTATAAAAATCTAATATTGACTAATATTGAAAGATAGTAATTAATTACTTATTTTAACAATAAGTATTAAAACATTGTTGTTCAGTACTCTTACAATTAGTACTTCAAATAAATAATTAATTATATATTATTGTACTTCAGCAATAAATACTAGTATATACATATATATAATTTGTTTTACTTTCTTTATTTGCAATTCTACGATATGATACTTTTAAAGTTATTGTTAATTTTTGATGTTTTTATTAATATAATATGGTATTTGTATTGATATAAAATGTTTAATCAATATTTATTTTTATTTTGTATTTACTACAATTAAAACGTGAAAAGCACACACCATGTGTCTTTTTTTAGACATTGCTTAAAATTATCTTTTTGCAATGTATACAAATCATTATAATTTATATAAATCATTACAATGTTTACGGTTCATACAGATTACAAATATGACGACCATGGAAAAAATGGGTTATACAGAGAGACTTTTTGCACAATGCGCAAGTAATTACAACTATTTCACCACAAGTATCGCATGTTGCTTTCGAATATTTTTTAAAACAAAATTGACCGGTGTGTCAAATTCTCCTATGTTCTAAATATCCACTTTTGTACCAAGCGTATTTAAACAAATTAGTAATTTTGGCAATGAAAACTGATTGTGCGTTAATGACTGTAATTTTAAAATAGCTACACGCTATTTTAAGATTCTAGAATGAAGTTTTACATCACGATCTAAAAGCATGACTACATCTGAAAAATGCTTGACGAAATTCTTCCATAAACGGAATCCAAAATCAATGGAATCTAACGGTTGTATTTTTCCTATTGTTCCAGCCGGTATAGTTAATAAAACAATATCTTGTGCAGAATCTGGTCTATTTCTTTGAATTATATTCGGACAATGACCAGTCCTTGAATCTAATAATAAAACTGAATTTGGTCCAACATTTGGATAATATACTTCTCTTACCCAAGTTTCAAAATGATTAGATGTTAGTTTACTAGATTTTGATGACAATAATTAATAAAAATATTATTTACAGTAAACATCGTTTCTTGTACCCTAGAACTTAATCCCACTAGGTTCTTTTAACACTATAAGAAATGGAGATAATAATCTACCATCGGCTAAAATAACAGGTTGTATTGTATAACTGTGTGTAAGATATTGACTATGCTACAGATTCTACTTTTTTACACCTTTCTGTGCCAATATACGACTAGCATGCAATTCTAATTAAAAACCACTTTGGTCCGAATTATATACATTTTCAATTCCGTAATGGTCAATATAATATTTGACATTTGCAATAAACCTATTGCTGTCTGCTTGTAAAGCTGCCTTTAACATTAAAGCTTTTTTAGTTATAAATTTCGTAATTTTTCTAGATACAATTTGATGCGTAAGCTTAAATCTTCTAACCCATTCGTGTAAATTTTAAAACCTAATAAGTTTACTTGTTGTTGCGCTTGCAAAGTCCATCGTGTAATATCAATATCATGGATCATTGCCCCTTTACGAATAGCTTCAATAAATTTATCTAACGTGTATACTGAAATTCGTTCCAACTTTTCAAGTCTACTACCACTTACATTCATTTGCTTTTCCCATCGTCGCAATTAGTCTGACATTACTTTCCGAAATCTTAATTTTACAGATTCAATTGTTCTCGGCTTTAACTTACCACTTCTCCAATATTCAACTGCTCCTTTTTTATATTCTGCTGAAATATCATCGATATTACAAACCATTTCTTTTACATTGCGTGCGTAATTTTCTTCATCTACAAGTTCTATTTCTTGTGCTTCTGGTATATCATATGAGTTTAAAAAATCCAACGATTCTTCTTGTTCAATTTCATAGTAGTCTTCGTACATTTCTTTTATCATCTTTTTCATTTTTCTCTGCATAACTTCTTCTATTGTTAGGACTTTCTGGAAAGTCCACGGCAGTAAATACTGCAGACAGCAGTATTATTACATTTCGTGGATTAAACCGCATTATTTTCTAAAAAATTATAAATATTATTTATATGTCCATTTCCAATATAATAATTACTAAAAGAAAAAGAGAAAAGTTTTTATTGTTTATTTCATAATAAATTTGATACCTTCTTATTTGGTTGTCCTTCAAAGGAATTCGTTGAACAAGGGAAAAAACAATTTTGTACAATGTATATATGACGTCTTCCTACAATTGTTTTAAAAATGTCAAATTATAATTATCATCAAATTATAAATATACTTTCATCAAATCCTAACAGTTGAATACTATTTTTCGCCTAGATTAATAAGATGCAATGTTTTGCAATATATTATTCATGTTAACACTGTTGAACACTGCAATTAGCTACAATAGGATCAACATATAATGCAGTTATAAAAAATAAATACTTATTAGCCAATTAGTATCATTAGCAACTAGTAGTACTTATTCGAAATCAAGCACGAAACTGAATTCATTCCAACGATTTCCTTTTTATACTTAAGTGTCAATAACATACGCAGACAAAAATTAATGTTTTATCTGTGTCAGCAAATCTACATATTTTTTACATCGCCTTATCAATACATTATTGATGTCAATATTAAATGGAATTAGCTGATCTACGATGAAAATGAAATGAATAAAATTTTATTAAAGTATTAATTTCTTTATTAATGCTTTATTCTTAATTGTTCAAAATATTTTGTATATTCTTTTATAAACATATCTTCAAAAGTATTTGACAGATTGACTGATTTTAGCAGGTTGACAAAGTCACTATTGCTGTTAATATTGTTATTATTATTATTTACAAAACTTATTTCAATAGTCACTACTGCACTGTGATAAACTGTGTTGCCTTTATCGCTATCTTGCACAATCAACGCAGTATGAGACGAATACGTTAGTACGGAGCGTGTATATAGAGATGTTTTCGTTCATATCTCAAAAATGGTTTTTCGGAATATGATTTAAATACACATCACTGTTTTCAGCGTAAAATGCTCTTTAATTTTTCATATAAAAAATTAAAAAATTTTTGAAAATAAGAGTGGAGGGTGGGGGTATACAATAAATAAATAACTAAAAAAAATTTGTTATCGTTATAAAGTAATCTTGCAACCATTCATTCTAGAAATTTTCATTCTAGAAATTTTTTTCTATCTCTCATAGTTTCAAAGATATTAGC